AAAATGAGTTTGAAGAATAAACCACATTACTCAGGACATAGACTATGATGCCCAAAATGGGATAGAAGGAGAACACATGACTCAGCTACTAGAGTATGGCACTCCCTTATGCTAATCAGAAAGACTTTTAAGGTAAACATCACATAGGTTATTTTAAAGTAAAAGCATGGATAAAAGGATGAGGGATGATCCTTCAAGGGACACACACTCACTCACTCACTCACTCACACACACACACGTGCACAGCATCACACAGACACACCCACACTGAATAGACAGACACCTGTTAGATCTATTTTTACTTACTAAAGACACGTTTCTTAAGCATCTTATAGATTTCTGCTGTAAGATATACTATATTTTGTAATCATCAAGCATCTTATAGACTCATTCTGTAAGATATACCATATCCTGTAATCATTTGCAACTTTTAAATTAAACACATTATGAACTTTATGCAACAATGGCAACAATCATCTATTATTGAACTTTTCCCACCCTATGCTTCGAGAAAAGGAATATAACATAAAAATCATTTCGTGTCATTTTTCTTACAGGATTTGTAGTTTTGGCACAGCTGGAGTGCCAAGGTTCGCCACCACTGACCTATGCTTTGCCCATGGCCGGGAAAGCAAGAGGTTCAATTCAATTCCACTCTCCCCAGCAACCTATACTTACGTTTCCTTCGCAACCCGTTCAGCCACCTGCAGCGAGAAAAGGAACCCCTGTTTAAGGCTTTGTTTGGTTCTCCGTTCAGATCTTGTACATGGCTGACTGTCTGCCCACCTCTACGTGGCAGCACTGGACCAATCACTAAGCACCACTACTCTTACATATTTTCTGTTTCAGATCATATCAGCCACAGTGCATGAAGATGGATATGAAGTCAGTCTGAGGTTAAACTATGTCTTAGTGACAGACAAGGTAAGTATCATTCATGTAGTCATTTATTAAGGTGAACCTTCCCAGCCTAGAACTTTTCTAAGTGCTGCTATGCTAGGACCTTGTAGTGCCTGCAAGTACCTGTCTTCAAATTGACCTGGTGTCCTAGGAATCCTAAACTTGGGTTGTACATGGATTATTCACTTATCTCCAAGTCGAGCTTAAGCCTTGCTTTCTGTTAATTTCAAATGACAACACTTTAGTGGCCAGCAGAGGCTATTAGTATTTGACATTGAATTGCAGTAGGGAGGGCTTAGTGATGGAAGGGGTGGGGCTTAATATCAGCCTGGCCAGAACCTGGGTAGAAATTCAGTGGAGAATTGTGATTAGTAGTGATATGGAGGGGCTTGGTGTGTCCAGTTCGCTGGAGTTTGCCCAAGCCTGCACAAAACTGTGATTGACCCCCCCCTTCCAGCCCAATCAGTTGTGGCTGGGCAATCCCCACCCTACAGCTACATACCAAATACAGGGGAGTACCACATGCCACATACAGGGGAATGCCCCTTCCGCAACTGATTGGGTCTGCAGGGAAGGTATTAGTCACAGTTTTGCATTAGCTTGGGGAACTCAGGTGAACTCCGCATATTACTATATGCCAGTGCTAAGGGCAGCTTTAGTGTGCAAAACACAGAAGTCCATATCACCCAGTCACATTTCAGTTCATTGGAATCATATCAGATAAGTGATTATTTCTGATTGGTTGCTAGAGACTACTACACTTTGCTTGCTGCTCTTTGTACTGCCTTATTTAATAAATCTGGTAATTATACATAAACACTGTTTTTATATATGAAAACTCATCCTGCATACTTTTGGCTGTTTACATATGTAAGGGAAAAAAAAGAAATAGGAACATAAAAGAAAACATAGCTTATTAAAAAAAGTGAGTACAAATATATAGGCATAATATTATAAATTGTATTTTCAGATGATTAGATGTTGCCAATAGTAACAAGAAAAATTACCGTGTGTTTTTTATACTGTATTAGTGTACAGTTTATAAACCTTGAAATAATGTGATACAATGTGTAAAATGTGCAAAACAAATAAGAAACGCATGTATATACCATGCATCTAGTATCTACTATATCTGACACTTTTGCAGTTTCATTTACACAGCGTGGATTTTACTATTAATTTTATATTAATTTTATACTATATATCTGACCACACAGATTTCAGCTGCTGCTTAACTTGATTGGAGTAGTGGCGCGACGTTTCACATTTATCCAGTTTATAAACCTTAAACATTGGCTTTGTCCATCTTCTAGAATGTTGTGACTGGAAAGCCAATGAATCTGTCCAGCAATCACTTCCTGAGCAATGTGACAGAAGGCAGAGATGATTTGGATGAGACACAATCCAGTGTGGGTGAGTTTTACAACTGTACATAAATTTAGGTATGTATGCCTGACAAACTGAAAGCATGAGTTGACTATCTTGCTCCTCTTCCCTCCATATCAATAGATCTATGTAAATTAATAGGTTGTGTTTATAGGAACAGAGGTTCATTATATAAGTATGAATGGCATTAGAAATCAACCTTAAAGGAGAACTATGGGGTCAGTGTTTTTCCCCATAGTTCTCCTTAGGGTAACGGGAGGACACAAACTAGCGTCCTCCCATTACCCTAAGCTCAGTATACAGCTCGCGGTATACTGAGACACCGCAGCCGGAGCGGATCCCGACTTAGATGACCGGATCCGCCCAGCTGCGTGAGTGACAGCTGGCTCTGCCTATCTAGAGGCAGTGCCAGCTGTACCCGCCACCTCCCCCGTCATAGTTCTCCTTTTAAAGTGCACCGATTCCCTGACTATGAATAATAAAATAATTTACATATTCTTAACAAGAAGTAAAAGAGATTAAAAACAAGCCCTCGCACACCTTTTTAGCTGCTAGTAGTGGGAAGTATTTCACTCTCAAAGATCACAACAAGGACTGTAAAGTCTCGTTTCAATCTGTTTATAACAGCTTAGAAACACCCATTGTGTGTTTGCATTACAAGACTGGCAGACTACCAAGCTTCTGCTTTCCCCAGAAAAAAAACTGAGATTTCTGTGTATCTCGATAAAAAGGAATTTCTCCACAATGCCTATAGCTACAGAGGTGAACAAGGACTTGTTATAAAAAAAAAGGGCACTTTAAGAGAAAGTACAGTTATACTTTGTGCCTTGTCCTAATCTAAAACAGATGTATATTTACCTTGATCCAACAGCTACAGCCTCCGGTGTTTGTTTACATCTAGAGCTGTAAGTCTCACTGTCCTGGCTGCACCTGTACATTACAGCCCAATAGACTTTTATATGCCCAGAGCTTAAGAGAGACATCCCTATAGAAGTATATGGGGCTATAATGTACAGACGCAGCCAGGAGACTTGTGGTGCTGGATGTAAACAGTCCCCAGATGCCATGGCCATCGGATTGAGGTAAGTATACATCTGTGGAGTTGAAGGTTGCATTAGGTTAGGCCAAGCCAAGAAGGAAAAAAGGATAAGTGCGCTTTGTCTTAAAGTGCACGAACCCTTTAAATTGCTTTTACTGTTTATTCAGAATATGTAAAAATGTTAGTGTGTATAGTCTGGGCACAGGTTCACTGGTAATAATGGTGCCACCTTCTGTATTTTTAGGCTTTGAGCATGAACACGAGCATTTAAAACTCAAAGCAACCCAGAGCACTTACTTTGTGCATGTGTATTAATGAAAGAGTATTGAGTAGGGAAGCCTACCTCATCTCAACATAACTGCCTTTTACTTCCGCCAATAACTCAGTCCAAACAATTATTACCTTTTGTATCACTTGCCCCTCCTACTAGATTGTAAGCTCTCACGAGCAGGGCCCTCACAACCCTATTGTTCTGAAACTGTATTGTACTGTAAATTGTATTGTAACTGTACTGTCTCCACTATTTTGTAAAGTGCTGAGCAAATTGTTGGAGCTATATAAATCCTGTATAATAATAATAATAATAATAATAATAATAATAATAATAATAATGTACAAAGTGTAGTGTTCAGTGTACAGCCGTAAGACCAATGGAAACATACCACACCTCAGATAATATTGTGCAAGGAAAATCCAGACCCTACTATTAACCAGTAGTATTTGTATGACATGTCCTAACTTACTCAATGCTTTGGCAACCCTCTTTATATAACACGTATATCCCCTCTAGCAAGCGAGGATGGGCTGAGTGCCAGAAGCAACAACTCAAAAAACAAACGGTCCAAGAGGAAAAATAGGAAGCCACTACAGAAAGAAGATCGACTTCCTGTATGTATCTCATATCACATATAATCTGCAAGTTATTACACATTGTTTAGTCAAAGGCTTAGGCCATAGATATCAGCGTGGATGGTAGTTCAATTTGCTTTATTCACCCTGATAAGTATTAGATTAAAGAATACCTATCACCAGATTAAAGAATACCTACCTATCAGCAGGCATGCTGTGGAACATAGGAACATATACAAGTATTATTTAGGGATCACAGTACTTCCCTGACAATGCATTCATCTACATTCTTCTCTAGAGTTATAGAGCCATCATTGTACAGGCATTATCTATTGTGAGCATCTTCTTTCTGGACTAAGCACATTCATGGAAATTTGTGTCCTTGTTCAGTTTGTGGCTGTGTTCACAAATGTCTGACACAGATTAGCCCCCAGCCTCTTACCTTGTGACTAAGAATCGTGGCCTGCTGTCATTTTGACAGATGAGCTCCTAATCTATGTATCATAGCTGCTGTTAGCTGTCATTTCTGTTGGCAGAAACAGCTGTGTCTTGTCAGTATTTGTTCAAATATAAACAAACATTGATACATTTTACCTAGTTGTGGTTCTGAGCAACTAATACAGTGTATCTGTTGTTCTTTACACAGGAGTTACTTAAAAAAACTTAAAGGCCCATTCATAACCATTGCATGGGGACTGCACTGGCCATTTTTTTTCCACCACAGCCGCAACGCAAAACAAGGGAATTTGCCTTGTTCCAGATGGGCACAGTTCACACCACCTAGTTGCGTAGCGATCAGCGCATCAGCACTGTGTCAGGCACAAGCACACCAGCAGCCAAATGGTATAGCTCAGCTGCGGGTGCGAATCGGCCCTGAGTGTATTTCCACTTTTGCAGCCAAATTGGCATAGCACCTACGTTATGCGTGTTACATGTTCACAATCATATAGAAAAACTTTGAATAAAATGTTAAATTGCAGCTGTCCTTTTTTTTAGATGTTCTTTGTGCTTACTCCCGGACTGATTAGTTCTTACTGTCTTGAGAGGGTTGGGAGGATTTTTCCATCAAATTTTGCCTGACTGTACCATGCTGGCAGATTCATTATCACTTGCAAACCATAGGAGCAGGAAGGTCTGTCCTAACAAAACGTTATAGGCATTGTATGTCAATGAGGAGACTCTGACTGGGTTATTCACAAAAGGGTGAAGAGTTTGGAGAATTCAGCTCACTTTCCAGTGCAGCTATGTTGTCCTCGATTGTTCACTTCTCCTGCCTTCTCCAAACTCTTCACCCTTTTGTGAATAACCCTGTAAGTCTTTCTATTAGGACCGTCACAGTTTCCTGTTACTGAAATTAAGAGAGGAGCATGCAAAGGCCTTCTAACTAGAGATATCTAAAATGTAGGAAATATTTATTTTTTGTATTCATTTTAGACATGCTGTGTGAATAGGAACGCATAGCACACATATCGTGAAGGTTTCTCAATTTTGCATTCCAGTGGTGTGCACTTAAAAAAAGTACAGCATGCAGTGCAAAAGCGTGGTACCTTGGTGTTCGCCTGGTCATGGTATCGATTGAGTACACAGAATAGAGATCTTCTCTTGAAGAAGCAGCATTGATACTGTGAAATGCGCAGAGAAAAGATGGCTTTTCTTCATATGTCGCCGTAGGATACCCCCGGATCTGATATAAATTAAATATCATGTCATGTGTTATGAATGAAATGTGCACAGTATAAAAGGCTATTGTGATATGTGGGGGATAGCTGACTGTACAATTTGCTTTTAAAACACAGTGATAATAAAGTAATAATGAGCAATCAATAACAGTTATTGGTGATGTGGAAATTTTAATGGAAATTAATTAAAAGTTGAGTGGTTTTATGGAAATGTGTACAGATGCATCTCTTGGGTATCTGAAAAGTTCACAATAGTACCTTAATATTTTTTTGCTTAGTGCCAATGAAATATAAAGAGGCAAGGTGCAGGCAGCCACTACAAACCATGCACCAATCGTGCTTAATTGGATCCAGCGGGCATAATTTCACAGTTAGCTGTCAGCGCCATCTACGGGTCTTCAGTAAGAATCAAAGCTTAGTCTGACCTTTTAAAGGGATATCCTTTCTCTGTAGAGAACCAGTTATCCTTTTGCTGACTCTAGCCAATAGCTGAAAATAAAGGTAAACAGTGTAACTGAATCTGTTCTACAGTAACTTTTTTCTCGATGGCAGCCTGAAGATCGCAAACTTTTCAAGGAAGTTGGACCCAAAGGTGATGGCAGGATTGCTACTGTTGAGGAACTCTTGGACGAGGTATATTGAAGGAAGATAAGTATATATTTGTACCCTCCATAATGAACAAAATTAGAAGTTTATCTTCCTATTATCCGCTATACACATACAAAAAAGTCAACACAATTAAATGGATAAACATCAGATCATTGCAATAAAAATGTTTCATACCTGAAATGCAAACATCCCCCCTTAAAGGAGAACTATGGGGTTAGGGCTTTTCCCCATAGTTCTCCTTAGGGTAATGGGAGGACACAAAGTAGCGCCCTCCCGTCACCCTAAGCTCAGTATATCGCGAGCTACACCTTGCGGTATACTGAGACGCCGCAGCTGAAGCGGATCCCGACAATTATGTCTGGATCCGCCCAGCTGTGTGAGTGACAGCTGGCTCTGCCTATCTAGAGGCAGAGCCAGCTGTACCCGCCCCCTCCCCCGTCTGTTCCGCCAGTCAGCGCTGGAGGATCGGAGCGGGGAATCCAGTCCCTCCCCTGTCACGGCAGAGAGTCGTGACAGGATCGAGAAGTGAGCGAACGCCGGTATGCGTTCGCTCACTTCCCGATCTACTGAGCCGACATGTGACAGTCTCATTGTCACAGGTCGGCTAGAACTATGAGGTGAGTGAAAAGCACTCGCCTCATAGTTCTCCTTTTAAATTTACACTTTCTTATCAAGTATGACTTTTTTATGGGTGGAACGAGAAAGGGTTTCATGCCTCAGTGGGTCTTCATGCTGCCTTGGTAATCAACAAGGAGATCTTGCCTATTGCTGACTCCTAGAAGCTGAGCTACTATTGTGCTTATGTGTTCTCCATATTATCTAATAGAGAATTTATTACAGAGTATGCGGCAGCAGTGAAGACTTAAGGAGACAGATAATGTCTATGACATATTCATCCAAAACAGAAAAAAAAATCATTGTAGGTGGAATTGCTCTTTTAAAATGGGTCCATTTTATTACTTATCTTTTGTTTTGCTAATCATGATATAAACATTCATTTTATTTTGGCAGAGATCAAAACTGTTGAATTTTTCTGTGGCTTGCTTTCTTGTTGAAATGCTTGAGAAAAGGTTAGAAAAGAATTGTTGTTGCTACACTGATTTGTAACTCTTGTTTATAGGGAGCAGATCCAAACTGTACTAACAACGAAGATCGTCCGGTGCTGACAGTGGCAGTTCTCAATGGACATGACAAAGTCATACCTGTCCTAGTACAGAAAGGAGCTGACATAGACCAGCAGTCTGGAACGTATGTATCTAGATGTGTTTACATTTTTGGTAACAGCATAATAAATACAGGATTAAATGAATGTATTACATTCACAGCAATACTACACTTACCTAATCTGAAAAAATGGTCTGTGTACTCATAGCAGCCAGTCAAGCTTGTCCCTTTAATTGTCTAACCTTCTCTAAAACATAAACAGCAGAGTTTGATAGGTTGCTTCAAGAAACAGTCACTTTAATTCATTTTACATCATTTGCTCTGTTCAGCTCCTTATCTATTGTATGTCTGACAGTGGTCTTCCCTGGTTATGTCTCACAGGAACAATAACACTGCTCTCCATGAGGCTGTCCAGCTTGGCATGGAAGGCAAGAAGTGCACTGAAGTCTTGCTTGGGTAAGAAAAATCATGATATTGACAACACAAAAGATATTGTGATTTACAGTGGTATGGATACTTATAATGCGTAACAGTAAAATCTGTAATAGGGGTCTAGGTTAATTGAAAGGAGGTTTCTTTGATCTCCTGGTTGCCTACAGAATCAACAGTCTTCTCTGTAAAAATCAATGGTCTCTGTAAAATCAATAGTCTGTAAAAAAACAGATATTAGCTAATGGTTGTTAGAGGAAGACAATCCTTATCTTGGAGATGTTGGTATAAGCCACAGGACCCTGTTCACAATCAGAATAGGTGGCCCGTGTACAGTATCTCACACAAACATTGAGGCTGTCCTATTCAAGCTGAAATGCAAATGTTTAAAGTGTATCTAAACCCAAGAGCAAAAATGAAATATTATGCAACTTCACGTCCTTGGGTGCGGTGGCTGCTTTAGTTTTCATTTTTAAGGCTAAGTACATACTTGTTAATTCTGATACAAATCCAGTATCCTCGTAACTGAAATCTCAAACAATAATATCAGTTTTCCCAGCTGTGATGTATGAGCTACACAACCTTTCCTCCCAGTGTAATGAAGATGAAGAGAGGGAGAGTGTTTGTGTCTAAATCAGGAATGCCACCTTGGGTGACAGCACTGCTCCTCCACAGATAGTCTAGTGAGTGAGTGTTGTCAGCCTTAAAAAAAAGGCAACTTTAAGGACCTACCATTAATAAGGACTGCTAATCTGCAATTTATTACATTATTGTTTTTGGGGTTTAGATACACTTTAGGATATTGCTGTATATATATTATTTTTTAAGTAAGCATAGAAAGCCGGATAACATAATTTATGGATCATGCAAATGAAAACAATCATGTGTCCTTTTCAAAGTTGTGAACATGTAATCAGTAAGTTAACCCATGACAATTAAGAGGAAATGGAAATGTGGTCCTCTGAACTCATGGGCCCAGTGCCAGCAGCATTGTCTGAATCCTCTTAATTCTTACCTGTCCTTCCTTTAACTGATTTTCCTACTCACAACACAGATACAGGCCTAATATATCATACATTAACCCACAGAAATCAATGATCTTTATTGTTTTGGTTGGCCTTCCCTGATTAAAAGTGAAAAATTCTAATTATAACCGTACACGTTTTTCTCCTGTATGGCATCAGTTTGCGTCGATTCACCTTATTTAAACCTTAACAAAAAAAACAAAAAAAAAGCTTATAAAGTCCTTGACACTTATTGTATAGGCAGAAGAAGCTATGCTCATACATCATTTTTTCTTGGGGGTCTGTACTGGCACATACAACTGGATGTATTTGGAAGACAACCTATTAGCCCGAACCTTTGCAGTAAATCTATTTTCCTGGCTCCCTCCTCATGTGAGCCCACGATGGGTCAGCTCTGCCCTCTTGACCCCCCACAGGACCACCCACATAGCAATTACAAGGGGGACCTTATCCAGTGACCAGTGTTTTTTTTGTCCTCGCTCCGGCCATTTTTTGGCTGGAGTTGTTTGATATTGTAGAAGATTCTAGCTTAAAATGGTCAGAGGTTTTGGCCTGTCCAGGTTCAGCCTCTCCTAGATGGATGGCCGCCGGTCTGGCAGTAAATCTGCCTTATGGTGGGCGCTCATGGTGCGGAGCAGGTATTGTGGCATAAAGGGCTGCTCTACTGTGTGTGTACACACACATATATGTACATTGACCTGGTGGGCTAGTGGATCAGGTTCCCCTTGGTACCTTCTCTCCCTGCTGACAGGATCCTCTGCAGTGCGGGGAAGCGATGGCGGCGGCGATGCACGAGGGTTGGCTCCTCCCCCTCGGCGTCTGACATAATACCCGGCTGCTCCAAGCTATTGGCGGCCGGGAGGGGGGGAGACGGTGCTAGCTCCTGAGTAGAGGAGGAGGAGGCGGCGAGCGGCGTCCCCTGTTGCCGGGCAACAGTTAAGTGAAAGCCGGTGACAGGGGAGGCAAGGTATCGGTATATGCTTGCCATTTATCAAGTCATGCCTCAGGGCAATCTGGAGCCTCTGTGTAAGTATCATTACCACCTTCCCCCAACCTCCTCTGTCCTACAATCTAATGCCAGTGCCCTTCTCTAGGTCACTGATGCTCCATTAATGGTTTGTATGATGTGCGTGGATATGATCAGTCTCTGAACTGTAAGAATTTTATTACATACTTGGTTCAGGGGCTCCCTGAGGACATCGGAGCCGTGGACTAGCAAGCAGAAGGTATTTACTGGCATCTTCAAAGTAAAGACTGTGCTCTATCTCCTCATGTCCAGTGTATGCCTCTGGAACTTCAGTGCTTAGCAAGGGCTGCTGTCAACCCTTGTTATCAATCAAGTTCCAATAACTGGCACATGAACAGAGATCCTGATAAAAGCTCCACTTTATTGTATCATAGCATAAAAGCAGTAGCAATAAACATGCTGACATGTTTTAGCCCCAATCGTTTGAATGATGTCACCAGCACACCAAAAATCCCTAGAGGATCACCAAGTGTTCATTTGTTCAGAACCTTGTCTAGAAAACCAAGCGATTTTGGGGACGCACAGGGCACCTTCATCAGGCTTAGCATTGTGCTGGTGACATCCTTCATACAATTAGTTAAATTGGCGGCGCCACCCGCAATCACTACATGCACCCTTCCCCGAGTATTGGGGCATCCGGTAAGGAGTGCGGCAAAGTATCTGTATACACTATTTTAGCCACTTACAAAGGTCTTAGCCATAGCTATAACTAAGGCCTGTTTTTGGGGCTGAAACACACCAGAATGTTTGTTGCTACTGCTTTTATACCGTGATACAATAAAGAGACGCTTTGGGAGGATCCCTTTTCATATGCCAATTATTAGAACTGGACTTACTGGTATCTCGTGGTGCTTTTTCTTGCACAAGTATGTTGGTTTATACATGTTTTAATAATGACAGGTGAACAGTGAGCCATTCAACAGTATGTAATTTTAACATACTTGGTATAAATATACGGAAGGTCTATACTCAAACAAAATGGTTGAAAAATAAATAAAATAAAGCAAACAAATAAACAAAACAAAAAGTGAAAATTGTACCTCTCTGTCTTTTTCTGACCTCACTCTTCTATGTTTTACTGGCCCTGTGGATTGGACCAACCATATGTATGATGGCATGGCACCAGGAAAAAGTACTGTGAATTTATTATGTGCTCATAATCCAACATCTAATTGTGCCTGACCTGCTCTTGTTGTTTAGATGCAATGCAAGCATAAAAAAGAAAAACAATAAAGGGATGACAGCATATGATTTAGCTTTAAAGAGTGGAAATGAACAGATCTCCTCGCTGTTTGCCTCCAAACTGGGACAAGGTATGCTGGATAAACTCACCAAGCCAAAGAACATCAGTCTGGATGTTTTCTAAGTAGATATATTGATGTCTCTAACTATTGTATGAAAGATGGCGTGAAAAATCCAGACGTGAATATCATGTTCTAAGCAATATATCGTTTTCTGCTGTGGTTTGATGTCTCTACTAGTCAAATTAAGGATGCTGTGAAAAATCCAGGAATGGAAATCACGTTCTGAGCAGATATACTGTTTACTGATGCAGTTTGACATCTCTAGCAATCAATTTAATGATGGTGTGAAAAATCCAGAAAATATAAGCCTTGATTTAAAGTGGAAATTAAACTGAAATAAAAAATAATTATGACTTTGAAAAAAATTCAGTAAGATATGTCTTTTGTAGTGAGTTTTTCTTTAACCATGATCAAGAAAGAGATCTGTATTAAAGAAGGGTTTTTAGGTTTAGAAAAGAATACATATAGCTGCTAACCAATGAACTATATCTGGTCATTTCCTCCTGGGTTTTGATCAAGGGAAGGCAGTGCAGGATTGATTACAGTGCAGCCTCTTCCTGGGTAATTGATCCTGTGAAGTGAATACATGGCCCTGGTAAAGAGTATCGGTGACTGTCGTTAACCCCAATTTCCTCTACAGTGGTACTTTCTACTGATTAAAAGCAAAACACAACGTCATTACCATTTTGGATTATTTCATGTCAATGTGGATCTTAAATCTCCTCTAGGATTCTAGAAGAAAGTATGCAGCAGCCTGTTCTTCTCTATGGGAGTCCTGGGCCATATCCCACCGTACGCTCACCCGAACTGCACATCCATGCACGTGCGGATGTCCATGCGCTGACGCAGACAGGACGCAGACTCGAGCTGGGGGTGTGTAGCTCGGGTGAGCGTGCGGCCACGTACTCCCATAGAGAAGAACAGGCTGCTTCGTACAATCACACGCAGCACCTGTCCTTCCCGGGAGCGGCACCGATACGGCTGGCTCTTCTGTGCAGTGTGAATGAGGCCTTACATATAATTGCCTTTATGTCATCTGTGGCAGTGCGTGGCAATTCCATGCAAGATGCTGGCGACACAGACACCCAGGACTCTCAGCCAGAGCGGCTGAGAGGTTCCAGAATATTAAAAGATTTACAGGGAAGAAGCTGGCCTTTCGGTTTCTTCCATCTTTTGTGGATTGTAGCTGGGATCTGGATCTTGGCAGATTTCTAAGAGTTCAGGGTGGGATGAAATCTCCAGTCCTGGGGTCAGGTGTTGCCAGTCATCAGGTGGCTGAGAGCAGCCTCAATAAGAGCTCAGACCAGAGCTCAATGGAGGAGTTGGTGTGTTGTGGGCTGCAGGCACATGAGGGCCCCTGCTGGGAAGAGGGACAGGTTGTGTCCAGGAGTCAGGCGGACTCCACCCAGAAGCCAGAGTGGAGCCAGGAGGCTGTGTGTATGCTGGAGGCACCAGGGAATCAAACAAGGAGGCTTAGTGAGCCTGTGACACACAGGGGATGTGTGGAAGAGTTACATGGAGTATATGTGACAATGCTGAGTTGGTGAGACATTGTTATACAGTTATTGACTCCTTGCTGAAATATAAGCAGACTACATGTTATATTGCTGACGAAAAGCTCGGTTCTGTTCTGGAAGCAATAAAAAACTGTCTATTTTTATGTTACGGCTTTAAGACTGGTCCTTAAAGGAGAACTATGAGGTGAGTGCTTTTCACTCATCCTCATAGTTGTAGCCGACCTGTGACAATGAAACCCTAAGGAGAACTATGGGGAAAATCCCTAACCCCATAGTTCTCCTTTAAGTGCTTGCCATTTATGCGAACTTCCCCAAACATCACACATCTAATAGGACCAGGCGCACAGAAATAAATTGTTATCAAAAAAGATTGTTATCAGGATAGACAGCACTTGATGAGAGCAAAGTCCACTGGACTCTGCTCTCTCCATGTGCCGTCTATCCTGATAACAATCTTGGACCAGCAGCTGAGATGGACTTCCATCTGATGTGTGACAGGCGAGATGTTTTTAAATATCCTGTAAATGCATTACTTTTAACCTTATATTAAACAGTTACTTTTTTACTGCACTTAGATCTGTGCGCCGGTTTTTTATGTTTTCTCCACAGTCATGTGAAGTCATGTTTTCTATAGTCCCAGACAGCTGATCAGCTCAGTTCATTCATTAATATCAGTATTCTAGATGACACTTTGGTATAATAAATCTGGAAAACCTAACCTGTAAGTTGGTATTGTTTTATATAGAGTAGGAAAGAGTAGAAAACTGTTATAAACCCTGTAAGGTTTTTATTGCTGAAGAAGTGAAGTAACGGAGCACTGTGCCCCCAGTGCGGGTAAGTATTCCAATCTGATGTGACCCCTTTTGAGGCAGCTACCAATTTAAAAATGGGTCTTTACACAGCCCTCATTAATGTCTCATCAACTTGAACCCTGAAACGTGTTGGATGTTTGTACACGATAACTAACAAATAAAGTTTTTCTGGACTGTCAAACTTAATTCGACACTATCTTTTTCTACACGACCTGAAAGGTCTACAGTATCGCCACAGCTTCTGTGCCAAGGTTGCCCTCCCATCATATAGATCATACAGGTCTGCATGAAATGTAGCACATATTACCCACTTTTACTGCGCTCCTGGGGCACTGGACATGACAACAAAGCAACTACCGACAGGCTGTTGAGCAGGAGATACCGGAGGTGGACCTCCTTCACCAGGAAGAAAGGGAGGTATAAAGAGGCGGGTGGGAAGGTGAGGAAAGAGAGAAAGGTGCAGAGTACATTTTAGAGAGTGTGGAGAGACAGGGCCATATTTCTCTATACCTAAAATAGGCCATGGTCTATGGTAGCAGAAACGCCAGGAGTGGCACAAAGCTTCTCACATATCAACTTCCCTTCTGCAATAACACACTCCTGTGTACAATGAATGGTTTTAGACTGCTACTTTGCCTTTCAGAGCAATCTGGCGAGGTCCTCATTGTACCTATGCAGTGTGTATGCATTTTGTAATGTGTACCTATAGTGACAGGGTCACTCTTTAGCTGATACATTTTTGGGACTGACAGGGCCACCCACAGCTCCAGTTTCTGCAGATTCAGCAGAATTTGGACAAAATTCAAGCTGTCTGTGGGAGCAGCAGAAGACAGATGGCCTGAGAGGGGATTGTCAGGAAGTATAAATGGTAACTATAGAGTGTGTGTGTAAAGTCCTTGGTGCTGTGGCCAACCCAACAGGCAGACATCAGAATTGCAAATGAACCCCCATAATCTTGAACCAAAGGAACTTCTGGTGTGGCCAAAAAAAAAAAATGGAATATGCCAATATGCTTCTGGAAGGTCTGTTGACATCATTATTGATACGAGTCCTGAGAACAGAGGACCCTGATTATTGTATCAACTGATTCTATTTGAAAAGATTTCACATCAGAATTGCCCCCACAGGCAAATACTGATCGGGCTTAATTTCAGAAAGACTTTTCTGAGTCTCTGGTTGTCACTGAGGGCTTGTTTCGGATTGACCTATTAAAAGGGAGACGCTTCCAGGATCCTCCGAGATACTCTCTTCCTGGGTGGTAGGATCTAGTGTCTCTGACATGAAAACAAAGGTTGTTGTCTACGCTTCCAGTCCTGCAACATTACGGTGTATTTACCCTTGTAACCTGTTTAATGGCATCCTCCAGAGCAGTCCCAAACAGTATTTTGCTGTTGAAGGAGATTGAGCGTAACCCCTGTTGCGAAGGGGAATCTGCCAGCCAGGGCTTTAGCCACAAAGCTCGGCGAGCAGTAACCGAAAGGAGAATAATATGTGCTGCCATACACACCAAATCCACCAAGGCCTAAGTTACAAAATCAGTGGTTAACTTAATTTCCTGTAGCTCTACAATAATCTTCTGTCTACACTAGGCTTCAAATCTTGCTCCATATTTCCTGCCCACACGTTTAGTGCTTTTGACACCCAAGTTAAAGCCACTGTTGGTTTTGCAGTAGTTCCTGACGCTGAATATACCTTTCTGAAGTCAGCATTGGCACGCCTTTCCATAGGGTCTTTAAAATTTACTGCATTGTCCAGCGGAAGCGTTACCTTTCTTGCCAGCCTCAGAATCACAGCTTTAAAGGAGCTCTCTCCACCAAATCCTCATCCCCCGGGCTAAGGGATATAATTTAGAGAACCTGTTCAGAACAAAATGCATATTTTCTGTGTGTGCCCACTCTGTACCCACTCTTCCTCCAAGAGCTCTTTTACCTCCAGACAATTTTCAGGTTTTTTTTCAAGTGAGGAATATATTTCCTAACCTTCTTAGTTTGCTCGAAGACTTATTCCCACAAAATCACATTTTGAACTGCCTCAATAAAACATGAAAACAAGCAAAAATCAAAAGAAAAAGCTTCTATGATTCCCCCTTCCTCTTCATCAACTATTGGAACTGGAGACAAACTGAAGGGATGAAGATGGAAATGTACTGTATGTCTCCTCCCTGATGTGGACGGTAAAGAAGAACCCTTATGGGGAGCCTTCGACCCAGCCGCAAACTGAGACATACCCTCAGCAATAGCCTCCATCCGAAACCGAGGGACCAGAGAAAAAAAAAGCTTCTCCCTTACCAGGGCCTGAACAGTAAGCTAACCAATAAACCGTGGGGAAACTAGTATTACCTGGAGGGGGAGGAAATTGACTAAAAGCCAGCAAACATGATACCAAGAACCCCAAAGAAAAAAAAGTTACTTTAATCTTTGACTCTACAGTCCAACGATCTGCCTTTTGAAACTGCAGGCAAATTCCTTGTGCCCATAGGCAAATCTCAGGCACATGATATGGAGGCATATGACACCCTACTTGTCTCCTGCTATACCAACTATTCTTAGTGAAAATATCACTTAACACTTTACAAGAACAAGTTGGGGATCATCCTTCTTTTCACTTAGTATGCTGGTTACAGGGTGTCATAGAGACAGGATATAATAGGACAGCTCTCCAACAGAGATAGCAACAAAAACATTGTTGGGGCCCATTTACACATTTACGTTCTGATATGCTGCATTATGTTACATGGTAATGTGTGTTGCACCAAGGCAACCCATTTATTTAAATGGGCTTCCAATGCAGTTAAACACACCCACAAAATAAAAATAAAAACGCACTACTTTTTAGCAACACAACACATGATAAAGCGTTACTGTCTGCTGTAGTGTGCTGCAATGCATGTGCGTTCCCTTAGTTGCACATATTGGGGTGCTATTGACATAACAGTGACACGTGTATTGGGGTAACGCACATTACTGCAACACATTCGTGAGAATGGGTCCTTAGTGGAGTGGTACAGTGGTACGTTGTCCAGTTTTTATTGCAATCTTTGTCTTCCTGACCCAGTGATACTGGTTCCCTTAATTAGATGCCTGATAAATCCCTCTATTTAGGTTACAACGAATACATGACAGAAAATTTAAATCTTTCCTACTCTATCCAAAACTTAAAAAAATAAAATTTTGCTTGAGCTTGGCTTTAATGCAGATCTACAGTACGTACAATAATACCCAGAGAACAATAATATTTTTTTTTTAAAAACAAATAATATTAAAAAAGACAAAAATGTAAACTTTGCATTTATTAAAAGGCACCAGCACCTGTTCTATATATAAAAACATAAAGGAATACAATAAAAAACATTGGTAGTTTACAAAGTAAATATAAATCTCATTTTTACAACAGCAGTTAGAGGCACTTAGTGTGTAGATTTTTCATCTTCTATGTGTATATATACAGTCTCTGGATTAGTCTCGGAAATAATGGAATCATTTCTTAGCCCTCGTTGTTATAGCTAACAATCATTCGTTTTCTGTGTCCAATAATCCATTATATTGTTCGATATAAATCCCTCTGCCTTTGTCAAAATAATAAAATAAGCAATATACAAATATAGAAAAGTTCATACGCCATGTAAACATTTCTGTACACTGGGTCCTTTTCATTTTTACTGGTTTTCTTCTTCATTAGTGGGGCTGACCTGCAGCACAGATGTGATTTTGTGTTGCAAAAGTGCTGCCAGTTTTTTGGTGGTTTTCTTGAGAAAGGCACTGCCAGGGTGGCTGTTGTAAACGTGCAGGTATAAATCCTCCTGGGAGGGTCCAGTGTAGCCACACTCCTCACAAACAAACAACTTGTCCCTCCTTTGCTTGTACCCAAAGCCTTGCTGCACCCCGTGGATTTTTTTTAGGTGGGATTCCAGGGAACAGCGCTGGGTAAATGCTTTGTTACAGATTTCACACTTGTAAGGACGAATTCCTGCAAAACAATAAATACATAAATACAGTAAAGTATGTGAAATTTGATTTAAACATATTTTGAAATACAACAAAAATTCTATATTTTTATTATTTATAATAAAATATAATTGTATCAAAATTATTTAGTAATAAATATAATAACTAAAATATTTTTTAATCGCATAACATTTTTGGGGGGTTAAAATGTCTGTCATTTTATTTTTTCACTGTTGGTGTTGTGTTGGGAGCTTCCCCTTCTAACCTGTCCTGCAAATGCAACAAAAAGCGAGAGAAAAGCCCTACAAAATTCCCCTCATGGCATTTGTTACAGCAACAGGTGTCCCTAACAAAATATTTACCCTTGCTCTGTATATTATAATGCTTTAGAATTTTTTCCCCATTACTTCTTCCTCTGGTGACAATTAAAATTGTTGTTTTCTCATCACTTTCTGTCTCAAGAACAATGGTCACTAGACAATAGAAAGGATAAATCACTCCTAGGGGAGCACAGACAACAATAAAAAACCTATTACTGAGATTTCTATAAAACACCTTCTTGTTTTTGCAAGAAACTCCAAAAGTACTATGTGATCAAAAATATCACTAGACCTGGCCCATATACAATACTTTTTATAGGAGAGGAAAAAAAAACAACAAAAAAAACAACCAAAGGCCTATAGTCTCATTGTTACTTATATATATTGTACAACAAAAATGCATTCTTCATAATAGATCATATACAGTGTTTAAGTAGTAAAGCCTCCTCTGCATATTAGGGGGTCTTAACTATACACTGACACGTTTCATCCCCAGATGC